AGAAAAGACTGTAATGGTGTAAGGAGAAACTCTCCTTGAATAAACTTCCGGACACGACTAAGCCAATGCTGGAAATAACTTTTTCAGAAATACTTCCACGAGAAAAATATAAAATTAAAATTTTAATTTAATTTATCCACCTCAATATTTTAGAAAATTTAATTTAACAGTACATAAAAGTTGAGGGTCACATAAGTTTCTTTTGAAATATTAATAAAAATTGGCTCAATGTCCAGTTTTTCTATGTTCTGTTGTAGCCCTTTCATAAAGATTATGATAATTATGTGCAAGTAAGTACCAGTAATTTTTTAGAGATGATATTTTATGTTTTTTGGATTTTCAGGACCAATCATTCTAACAATTGAAAACAATGAAAACCATTCTAATAGGAACTTGTTATACCATTACTCTGTTGTGTGGGTCTCTTGTTTTTCTTATTCTTGCTGAAACTGGTCCAAACTGGCGCGAGGAGGATAGAATAAAGTGCAGACAATTTTGATTATTTTTCAAATTCCGATCAAGTTAATAAAACTCAACTATATATAACGTAAAAATTGATTAAATCATGGTAGTTTAATATACAAGAATTTGTCATGTTGGGGGAAGGGTTGTAAATAGATTATAACATTGGTGTTTTAAGGTATGAATTCCTATGTGATAAGCTAGAATGATTTGGTTCAAAAACCAGCTATGGTTGAGAAAGTATATTAGCATTGATGAATCTTAAAAGCTGTATTCGCTAGAGAAGGTTTGTTTTTGAAAGCAACAGTTCACTTATTTCTTTTACTTTTCTCCTTCAGAAAACGGTCAGATATTTCTTTTACTTTAATACAGCTCTAAAGTGGTCAGAAAGAATATCTTACTCCTTGCCTATTTGCCTATATTCTTCAATTCACTTCCCTAAATTTCTTTCCTCTTTCACCGTTATTACTTCATTAAACATATCAAGAGTGAAACCACATAAATTTATATAATAGAAAAAGAAAAAAAAACTGAGAGATGAGAGTATGGTTCTCATGGATAAG